CATGCCCAGCTTTGGTGTTCATCTGTTGTGTTTTCAGGGTTCAGATATCGAGACTTTGGGATCAGAGGCTGCAGTGGAATTTGCAGCTGAGCTGTTAGAGCGCCCCCCAGTGGATGAACCAGTCCTGCAGGATGCACAGGCCTCAGCATCTGGTGATTAAAAAATACTTATATTATTTTATTTTATGTTTTGATAGAGTTTAACATTGATTGTGAAGTAAGTTTAGGATTATAAAGTAAAAATGTTTTAAGTTTGCCGGGTACTTTTTCAACAACTCGAGTTAAACACGTTGATCTTCAGAGCAGTTCACATTCAGCTGAATCCCAGTTAACTGTGTTCGCTTTGTGACTGTCTGAAAGTCATAATTGCATTTTGCTGTTTTGTAAAACTGTTTTTATTGAGTAGCCTTTGAAAAATTACATTTATTTTTTCTCATTTTATTCCCTAACCCAGTGTGTGATTCGCTTCCTTCACAGATGCGATTTTTAAAACTTAAATTACTTGTTTGAAAAAGGGTATTTTATCTGACTAATTTGTTAAACTACAAATTAATCTTCAGCTATTTTAATTAGTTAGTCCTCAAGGAAAACAGTCATAAATACCCAGGTTGTGTCTTCTAAACTCCAAATATTTGGTTTAATGGTTTTCTTCATCTTGTAAGACACTGAACTGTTGTTAGTGGCAGTTTGAGCACATCGATGTTGATTCATGATTCTCTGATTCTTTATGGAAATGGTAATATTTAGTTTTTATATAAATCATAATTTCTATTTTTTGCCTTCCAGCTGTGTGTGTTGAAGAGAGAGCTGCTGATTCACTTGACGACACTCTGGGAGAACAAACCATAGTTGAGACACTGTATGCTTCAGAGGTGAGAGGCCCTGAAAACGACGTGTTCTTTAAAATATCTGGAGTCACGGTTGTCCCGCTCACTTTACGCCTCGTTTTGAACATTTCTTCTGCAGGCTGGAGGCAATGCAAAAGGGAAAGAGCACGTGTTGTCCTCCAGCGATCACTCCGACATCGTGACTCTGGGAGACTTGAAGGATGAGGAGCACACAGAGAGGGAAGGAGAGGCAGTCGCCAACGAGGAGTTTTATCTCGGCACCTCCTGCAGCAGCCAGTACGCCTTCACCGCCGCAGAGACTGGTAGGATCGCAGAACCACACACACTGACACGCTGAACCATCCATTTTATTTACAGTCATAGCCAATCAACATAGAGAAAACGAACACAACAACACAAAACGTTTCTCCTCTCCCTGTTTGCCGAAGCAGGTTTGTTGTTGAGTCACTGGAAGCTTCCACAGAGTCTGGTGAACTTAAGCTACCATCTGAGAAGTCACCTCACTGGAGGCTCTTTTCCAGGTGGCCTGATTGAAAATGGAGTGAAACTAATGTGATGCTAAGCTCGTTTAGTAATGCCTAAAACTAATCCTGATCTGTTTCTGACAAACCTGTAGAGTGTGTGGAGATGAGATGCTGTCAGATAACTGTTTTCTGTGAACTAAGATAACCTGTGGTAAATATCTAGTAAATCCTCATGGAGAGCTTTATTTTAGAACTATAGCTGTATCCTAATTCAGGGAATATATTGACTTTTTGTGAAATAGACCTATTATGTTTATTGCTGATGTTACTTTCTTTTATATACTTAAATTTTATTGGCAGCAACAACGACAACCAACAGCGCAGTGCATGAACATAGTTTCCAGTCCATATCAACCCACAAGAGTCCATTTTACAAACACGAGCTACAGAGAGAGCTCCAGGGCTGTAAGAAGGGGGTGGAGATGTGGGGGTGACAGTAACACACAGCGCCCGCATTACTGCTGCCGCCGCACCGGGCCGCCTGTCCATCTCACGCTCCATTTTCCCATCACTTGGGAACAAGATCCAGAGATACTTAAACTCCCTCGCTTGAGGAAGCAACTGCACATGGCCCACAAACAGAAAAGCTTCAAACTAATCCATCCTATGAGTAGGGACTGTACAAGGACATTCTCCGTCATCCACATCTTTATATCGTCATTGAAAGCGTTGGAGTTTAAGTAGTTGCTGCCAGACTTTGAAGGTGCTTTGATTCGTACAGCCTTAAATTCTGAAGAAGTCCTGTGCTATATCTAACGTCTGTGGTCGTCGCCCCTCACGAAAAATCACAATAACATTCAATCCAATCTGTACACTCCTGCTCTCCCTTGTAAAAAGTGCAAAGTCGCAGCCAGCTTTTCAGAAACAACCACAGGAGCTCCATGTGTATTTCTGTGTTCAACATGAGGGCCACTGCCACCATCTGCAAAACAGGCCGACGCATACCTATCGTAGCATAAATAACACCAAGTGCTCTTTCAAAGCCTGCACCAATCATGCGGAAACCATGAATTGGCCTTAAAGCTCACTGATTACATTTGTTTAATCTGTGCAAAGTGGAAAACAGCACATTGCAGTGTTGTGGTGAAATATGCTGAACTGTTTCTTGGCTGAGCATGAGAGTAGGATTGAGCCTCTCATCTCGCTCTTGGCAAGAAAGCATATAAGTCTGTTTCCCAAAGAGTTGCACTGTTCCTTTAATCTGTACAATAACATTTCAGTTACTCATCCATTAATCTCAGTATTATTTGCTGTCTGCATGAATAACTGCACTTAAGCATGCGCTCTGAACCTGTTGTTTGTGTCTTTTTAACCTCTTACCTTGCATCTTAAATTAGTTCCACCATGTTCTGCCTGCATGTCTAAACTTTTATGTCTCTCTGCAGTTTTTCCAGCGCAGCAGCCCCGGGAGACAAACTCAAGCAGCAGCGAGGACGAGGCTGGACGAAGCGCCAGCACTGTTGTACGAAGACGAAGGTTGAGGAAGAACACCACTAGTGTCACGACCGACCCGGAGGAGGAGGAGGCAGTGCTGGAATCACGCCCAAGTGAGGAGGAAAAGGAGGAGGAGGAGGATGAAGAAGAGAATCAGCAGGAGCAGGAGGAGGAGGAGGAAGAGGAGGAGGAGTGGACTGAAGTTGGACCGACTGCTGCTCTGAATGTCAGAGCTCAAGGCCAAGGCAGCAGCGTCCTCAACAAATGTGTCCTGCTCGCCCTCATTATAGCCGTCAGCATGGGCTTTGGTCACTTCTACGGTAAGACGTTCAGTCCAGAACTACAAGAGTTTACTGATGTCAGTATTACTGCGGAAAACATACGAGGTGTGTCAGAAAGGTTCCAGGACTGGTGTCACAAAAGATGTATGTCAAACCTAAACTACAAACTACGAGTTTGCTTCGTTCAGTGCGCAAGAAGAGGCGAGAGTTGTGGCTGCTTCACCACGACAACTCGTCTGCTCACAATGCCCTGAGCATCCCGCAGTTCCTGGCTGAGAAGAACATCTCCGTGCTGGAGCAACCTCCCTGCTCACCCCACCTGGCTCTGTGGGATTGTTTCCTCTTCCCCAAGCTCAAGGGGGTCATCAAGGGGACCCGTTTTGAAGACGTGGACGACATCAAGATGGCTGAGACGACGGAGCTGCGGAGGATCCCAGAGGAATCCTTCCAGGAGTGCATGGCGGCGTGGCAGAGAAGGCTGGGGAAGTGGGCTAGACTCCAGGGGGATTACTTAGAAGGGGAAAACTTTTGTGACACCAGTCCAGAAGCTTTTCTTACACACCTCATACTTTAACTTTCCAGTTTGGCGAGGCCTCTCTGCTTTCCAAACGCTCTGTTTGAGGAAGCATGTTCTGGAGTGGTTTTCTGCTGGAGATACATTTGTAGACGAGTTGCACCCAACCACCCAATGCAGCATTAGATTGTACTTTACAGCCGAAGTGTCCGGATTAAGGTTCTTTTTGCCTGAACACCCAGTTTTAGATCTTCAGAGTAGGAGCAAGAAAAATCTTGGCGACTTTTGTCTTTGTTGGGAGCAGTTTGTAGGTCTTGTGTTTCTGAGTTTTGTAGACATTACAGACCACTGCAGACTGTTTCATCACATGTAGTCCTGGTGTAGCAGGACTTTCTGATGCTGCGCGTAAAAGACCTGTTACAAATCTCACCTACAGGTACAGTCCAGATTCAAGAAAGACAAAAAACGGTAGAGAAAGTCCGAGTGTATGAGCTGGATAGAGTCAGAGATCTGCTTCAGCGGCATGCGAGAGAACAGCTTTTTACATACCAGGTCAGTGACAACACACAACTCAAGCAATAAGAATCTCATTTGTGGCAGAAGGCAACAATAATCAATAACTCAATCTGTACCATGTTTGTGACTTCTGTGGCTTCCAATATGCACAACACTTGATTTAAATATGTTTGTTTTTAGTTGCTCATCTAAGCAGGAAGACATGCACTCAGAAACCTGCACATTCCTGCACAACAGTCCTAATATAAGTCCTACATTTCTTTATGTTTTTTTTTTTTAATGTAGAAACTGTTCTATTACAGTGATTATGTGTGTCTGTAAATGAGTTAGACAAAAATATTTAGGAACAACTTTATTAAAAGGCAGTGAATCCATCACAAAGCCTAAAAATTTACCAATGAGTCAAATGAACAATTAAAGCCAAAGTCTCAAAACTAATCTTTTGTCAAGGTAGTATTTACTGCATGGCTCCTTAATCAAGTATTTCTGGGGTCTCATTGTCAAACAGGCCAAATGCAGGTAATTTTGAAATCCATGTTCTACCTATAAGATATAAAAAATATATATATAGAATAAATGTGAATGTTTTCAGCGATGATCTTGGTTGATCTTAAGTAATGTTTTGTTAAAACTCTTTGATGCAAAAAAGACATTAGAGTTCAATTTTGAATGCATCATGATTTGATCATGACACGCACAAAAACAGCTTTCATCGACCATAACTTGTCTTTTCTTTTTCTTTTTCTCACCCAGGAGCAGGGAGGTGACTTTGACTTAGATGAACTGGATGCTCAGAAAGTTATTTCATTGCTCACAGAGGTGATTGAGAACATAGAGAGTAAGAATGACGAACTCAATGTAGAACAGAGACTCATGCAGGTAACTAGTTGCTAACGCCAAAAAATGTTCCAATAAAGAAATGTTCTTCGTCAAGCTAAAAAATATTGTTTCACTGTTCAAATGCTGAATGATTTGAGTGAACTTGCTTTCAATAGTAATAAAACATGTCATCTCCTCTTTGACAGCCCTAATTTTCCCTCTTTGTCGCTTCTTAATCAAGGCCCAGAGAGACGGACTGGAGATGTTCCTGAAACAGAAGACTGAGGAGAGCACTAACATTGTGTCTCAGCAGCGGAGGTTGACGGCTGAAAACCAGCGGCTGAAAAGCTCCCTGGAACAGGAAGAAAGGTCTTTATCCACCTTACAGGAAGAGCTGAGAAACCTGCGCTCTAAGATCAGAGATCTGGAGGCGATGGGAGCCGGAGCCGATTCACTCCTGTCAGAAAACCAGAGGCTGAAAGACCAGCTGGAGGAGGAGAAGCAGCTGCTGAGAAGCTTTCACGGCCAGAGAGAAGACATGATCGCTGAAGCACAGACGCTGAGAAAGAAGCTCGACAGAGAGAGGAAGGTCACAGATGAGCTGAGGAGAGAGCTGAATCGTCTGAGAAGTCGCATCCCCGGAGCTGGAAAGGAAGACGGCTTGGAGGCGGACGAGCTGCAGTCACGTCTGATGGAGCTGGAGAAGAGGCTGAGCTTCGAGCAGCAGCGATCCGACCTGTGGGAGAGGCTGTATGTGGAAACCAAAGAGGAAAGAGCCAAAGGAGACACAGAGTCCAAAGTGAAAAAACCAAAAGAAGGCATGGCAGGAAAAGTGAAAGAGACATTTGATGCTGTGAAGAACTCTACCAAGGAGTTTGTCCACCACCACAAAGAGCAGATTAAGAAAGCCAAGGAGGCAGTGAAGGAGAACCTGAGGAAGTTTTCTGATTCTGTCAAATCCACTTTCCGACACTTCAAGGATTCAGCATCGACCTTCATCAACAAAGCCCGAGGTTTTTACAACAAGAGATGTGATGAGAAATACACAAAAGAGTCGTGGCAGCACAGACCCCACAAACATCATCACAGACGCAAATCTGACTCCTTCGAGAGCAACTGCAACACGCGAAAATCAGGACGTAAAGTCCATGAAGACCGAGGACAAAGCAGCCACAAAGCCAACATGAAGGGCTGCTCCGGGGTGTTCGACTGCGCCTACCAGGAGTCCATGAGTCTCTTCAACAAAGCCATGGAGCCAATCAGAGCTGACGAATTTTACCTCCTGCTGCAGAGCTACCTGCAGCAGGAAGTCGACCACTTCCACCACTGGAAGGAGCTCGAGATGTTCATCAACGACTTCTTCCGCAACGGAGTGTTCATCCACGATCAGATGCTGTTCACAGACTTTGTAAGCGGTGTTGAAAACTATCTGGCTGACATGCACGAGTATCACGGCCTTAACGATGACGTGTTCGGAGATCTTGACGACTACGTCTACAGGCACTTCTTCGGAGAAGCGTACACAAAAAGTTATGGCCCAAGGTAAGCGTCTCATTCTGTGTTCCTAACGAAGAGTAACGCTTTAGTTTACAGGTCTGTAACTTCTGAATAATTTAGAAAAGCTATCTGAGGATTTTCCTGGAATGAAAGACTTAATATTGTCCTGATATAATGAAGCGAGGAAAAGACCACGAAGTTACTTCCACTTCAAATCTAGTGAAGTGCTTCTGTGACTGTGAGACTGTAAAAATATGAAATTTGTCAACAGGCAAACATTATAAATGTGTTATTTGGGTTTAAATCTATAGTTTAAATGTAGATTTTCCCTAAAAATCTAATGAAATACAGTCGATAATCCGACCCTTAACGATCCGAAACCTTGCTATCTGACAGGTTAACGTGCTTCCTCACTACAGCTTCAATGACTGATTACTGGTTCAACTCAGGAACAGCTGGGAAATGAATGTTAAC